TTCTGCAAAAAGAGGTCTAAAATTATTGGAGAGGAAAAGAATGTAGATGGTTGTAGAATGTAGATACTTACTCGAGAAGAGGCCAGGAACTGAAAGGCAAAGCAGAAGACCAGGAAGCATAAAAACAAAAGTTTGGAAAGGAAAATTTATAAACACGAATTTTTAAAAGTGATTAATGGTCATTAAAGGACAGATGAGGTAACAAATGCGCAAACTCTCCTGAGCAAGGTCATCAAAAAGTAAGGAAACTGGATCTGGGCCCATTCTGAAAAAATGGTGCATTCTACACGACGTCGTCGAAGGTAAAATAAAAGGTCTAAAAAGATTGGGAAGAAGAAGAATGCAGATGGTTGACCACTTAAGCGAGAAGCAAAATTATAAAGAACTAAAAGCCGAAGCACAAGACCAAGAATTATGAAAGCAGAAGTTTGGGAAAGGGAAAATTGCGTAAGAGTGATTAATGACAAGGAGCGTAAAGGTAATCATTGATTTGTTTGCTCTCACACCATGGACCTGCCTTCGGCCAGACTACTATTTATCATTATTATTAATAATATCCCTCAAATACATTTTTAAGATTTCCAACGCTTTGAAACCTGATAGTTCACGCATACATAACTAATTAAAACTATGACGTCTAGTTGCTGACTCGTATACAAACTTTGTAGGATCAATATATACATTATATATATCTTATATATAAAATTCTTCTGTAACAATGTAAGTTTCATATTTCCTCCTAAACTATAATTCGGATTTTCATGAATCTTCCTGAAGTTTGTTCGGGAAATTTTTTAGAATGTTTTGATTCATAGAAATATAGTTAAATTGTAGAAATAAATAGAAAAATTACAAAAAACCGCTTATCATTGTTTGCCCTTGAAAATATTTGAAGCTTAGTTTGACATTAAAAACAATTGAGGACTGTCATTTGCCAAACATTTCTATTCACTTATAGGCTAAGGCAATATTAGAATATAATAAATTCATAATTATGAATAAGGAAAATGTAATGTCTACATTATTAATGCCGAAAAGCAGCTGAGATGTGCCAAAAATTAAATTAATATAAGATGCAAATAATATAACATGCATTTGACAAGTGATGCAGTCTGCGCATGCGTCTGACGTGCGCGTGGTTTGCTTTTGCTTGCAATAATTTTGTTTGCGCACTTTGCGAACAGATTCGCCGTACGAATTCGCGCAAAGGAGCGAGCCATAAGTGATTGCGCTCAAACATATTCAATTTGCAGTCGTTTTGCCTTACTATACTAAGTCACAATACAAAAAAATTATTTAGAAGTTTCATTGTGTCAAAAATTCATATGTTTGTCATTGGGTACGGAATATTTACTCAATGGAGCGCTTTGGGTCTGAAATTTTTACTATTTTCCAATTCGTTTGGAATTTTGGAACTAGGTTCATCTTACTCTTCAGAAGTGAAAACAATTTAGACTCCTTTACCACTTCTCGGGTGGATGACATTTCTTTTCAGTGGTGTAATTTTACTTTTTTCAAAATAACGTTGGGTATCGATAAAAGAACTAATTATACGAGAAAAATATTTAATAATGTTTTTCAAAAAAGGAAATACTTTTCAAGTTACTGGCTACTGAATATTTGTTTCTTTTTTGCGTTTTTTTGTTGCTAACACCTTCAAAAATATACATTTTAACGAAAATCATGTAATGAACAGAATTATATCAATTAAAATCTTAATAAATCGTTATTTTATAGTGTTTTAGGAACATTATTAGGCTAGATATGAAAATGGGTTTTTATAGTGCTCAAAATAAGCTTTAAAATGAGTACTTCTGCGTGTAAAATGAGTGAGCTATCATGCAGATAAAGGACGCATGCAATGTTTTTTTTTTTCATTTAAATCAAATACTTTGAGCGCCATATCCACCAAAATTAAAAATAATCGTATTCAATCTAGAATTAACTTGGTTTAAGAGATCTTGATGGATTCTAGAAAATACCACAACTTTAGTACAAATGATTCTCAAAAAACTCATGATTTCATGAAAAAAAAACATTTAAAAAAAACAACCAATTTCTCATCATAATACCTCTGAAAGAATACGTATAAAAGTATATATATAAGAAAATTCGAGGTATTTTTCTGACTAATTATTATTGTTTATTATTTTTTCGTTACACAAATATTGATAGATGTATGATTAATTAAGGAGCTGTCCAACCAGAGGTCTTTCGAGCCCTTTAACCCTTCGCCGTTTTACAATAAGAGAAGTTACGGTAAAATTAATGATAGAGAAAGTTGTAGCTCATTTAATCACCTTTAAAATAGTGTATTACAAGTTCTGATAAAATCAGAATTAAAAGAGTAATAATCCAATTAATGCTGTGGATGGTGACGGAGTGCAAATTGTTAAAAACATTGAAATTAAGATAAAGATTAGCCTATTTCCAAAATATCAAGTAAATTGGAGCACAGTAAAAAAAATTTACAGAGCAATAATTTTGATGATCATGAGTTGAATAGAGCACATGTGAACAGGATTTGACAAATTAATTCACTTCAAATATAAACTTAAGCAATAATGTATATTGATTTATTAGAGAAAAAAATGCAATTTAGATATTAAAATTACTTAAAGCCAGTTAAAATATGGTACAAAATTATAAAAATTATAGGCAACATTATTGAAGCAATTATTTTGGGTAGAAAAATAAAAGGTGATATTGCACCTTTGCCGCGAATGCTATATATTAATTCTTTCTGAATTTGTTGTACTTTTTAAAAGATTTCAATTTTCAACATGAGTATCTTATGCTATGACCATAAATCAAAAAGGCAGACGATCATTTTTAGTGTGATAAATTTGGAAAATCAATGTTTTAGTGGTGAATAAACAAAAAATCATTCATTTATACATCCACATCTACAGGTATGGCTAAAAATACTATATAACCCTTAAATGCAATAAAATAAATTGAGCTATTGGAAATAAATTTGTTCTATAAATCGCAGTGTATAATTTTTAATATACAATTTTATTGAACATTTTTTAATATTTGTTAAATAAATAATTAAAGTGTTAACTGTGGGAATTGAGAACAATCATTTTATTTGAAACAGTTCTACATTCAACATCACTTATATATTGGTGTAAATAGTAATTCAAAAAACAGTAATTATTATTTTTAACTAAGCAGTAAATATTAGTATAAAATATTGAAAAAATGTAGACGTAGGTACAGAACAACGTCTGTCGGGTCAGCTAGTATATATATATATATATATAATACATATGTTACATATTAGCGAATACATGTGTATCACGCAGGTATTTTTCTTGAAACCACCGTAGGATTTTGGCATATGTCCAATGTTAACAAACTTTCTAACTTTACTTTATGACTGTATATATATATATATATATATATATATATATATATATATATATATATATACAGCAAATTTGTCGAAAATAAAAAAACATAAATATTAAAATATATTTATGTTGAACGTTTCGTCATTGAACATACGATGTACATCATCATTTAGCATGAAAAACATGTAAATATAAAAAAGCTAATAGGAAAAACTTAATTAGTGAAGCTACAAACGCATTTTGTAATCTTTGATAATAATAAATCGTAAAAACATGTCACATGATCACATTTTCTGGTTAGAAAATAGAACCATTTTTCCTGCAATTTTTCGAGAAGGAATAAAATTTTTTACATAAAATGTTAATGAAATATTTTTTTAAATAAAGTCAGAAATATTTTTATTAAGAAAATATAATTTTATATACAAATTAAATACAGTAGAACCCCGTTAAAACGATCATACTTGATGTGGGTGACTTAATATTAGGAGGTCATAAATTATTAAAAAAATCAGGCTAGTTATTGTAGAATAAAATGTATATTTTGATAATATAAAAGATTATTAAATTTTTAATAAAATTTATGATTAACAATATTGTTTTATTTATGTATAGCATGATCGTCTTAACGGGGTTCTACCGTTTTTAATATGTATATTAGATTATATTTTCACGCTTAATACGCTACTTTACGCCAGTACTTGCATTTTGAGTCATATAATTCTTATCACGCATAATACGCTTTCTTGTGTATTAATGAACGAGAAGATCAGAAAACACAAAATGCATCAAATTAAAAAATGAAATGTATTATGAAAAACAATGTTGTCTTGATATGGACCTGCATTATATATCTAAAAATTTATTTATTATTAATTATTTTAAATCTATTTGTGACTGTTTTTCCAAGTTAATCTTATATGTGCTAATTCTTCATATTTATTAAAAATTTCTATAAATTTCTACTAACTTTTGTAAACATAAAATTACCAACACGAGTTTATAAAATACTATGAAACTTCTAACAAGAACTGAAAATTCCAGAACTACTATTAATGGGCACAATTAATATTATTAACCCTTTACACTCGCTAATTCTGGCGGCACTCGCTAATCTGGCGGAAAGGGTTAATATCATATATCAGTAGTTTCCAATCTTGTCGTACCGCTCTTTCCCTATGTTTTTTAAATAATACTGGATGCCCTTTAATTCGTCCAATAATCTAATTTTCAACTAATATTATAACTCATTTATCAGGCTAGAAATTAAATAATATAATTTATAATTAATATATAAAATAATTAATATTATTGATACAAAAAAATATATCAAAATATACATAAAATTAATCATTTATCTATTCATTTTTATGTCATTTCAACAATTTGGTTTATGTTTTTGGAAATTGTATTTTGAAATTAACTTCGAAAACGCCTCCCAAGCCCTGAAGGGTTGCGCCCCAAAGGTTGAAAACCACGGTCATATACTATTTTTTGTGTTATATTGTAAGAAGTAATAAGTATTTGTATGAAATAAATGCAAAATTAAACAAATTGCAACTATTTCCTACAACAAATTTTGCCAGAGTAAGTCAGTGTTGTTGCAAATTAATATTAAAATATAAGCTTAAATTAACTTACCATATAAATGATCAATTAAAAATGTAACTCGGTTGTCCCAACTATATGCCATTTTTGTTAAACTTTCTAATATTAAGACACTCGAACTTGAAAATATTTTATATAATTAAATTAAAAAATTAAAAAAAACTCACTTAGTTTTTGAAACCGAAAATATTTTTTTTAATAAAGGATTTATTAGGGGTTTAAGTCGATTCAAATTTTAACTCTGCAATATATAGTGTATGAATATAGTCTCTTACTATTATTTTTAAAATTAATTTAATTTAATAAAATGTGGTTGTGAGGTGTTAATTTTGTTGTACTGCTGGTGTTATTAATGTACTTTATTGTTTATATTTTTATTTATGGAATTAGTGTTCAGTTTGGAATAGTGTTGTTTGAATTTTCGCGGGTGACAATATCGGATCTATTTTGAATACTGAACGCTAAGAATTTGAAATCGTAGCTTTACGGATTTGCCTTCTATCTTTAGATCTGTGATGCATTTATTTCTATTCGACAAACCCACACTAACACATACACCTTGGCTAAATTAACCTAACTATAAGAATTATTTAAAATTGGTATTAAAACGAAAAAAATACGATTGGCTAATTTTATGTCTTCCCAACGTTTCAAGTCATTCTGAATCGTTTGAGATCAAATTTGGTAGAAGTATGTGTGTGTGAGAGAGAGAGAGAGCCGTTTTTTGACCTTTCGTATGTATCTCGATAAGAACTATTGTTATTTAGTTACTTCATTCAATTTCAATAAAATCAATGTGAGTTCCCCATATTTTGATTTGTTGATCACTTGCGTTTCCCATTCAAAATTATTCAGTTTTTTTTATTATTTTTTAGTTAATTATTATATTTTTTATTAGTTAATTATTGATTAAAGATTACAGTTATTTCTTTGCTTAAAAATACTACAAAAATAAATTTTGAAATGGGGTTTCGTTCTATTTTATGTCTAATCGAAAACAGAATCTGAAATACCTGTATGAGCAATAAAAGAGTTGCTTCTAGAAACTAAAATGTATTCATACGGCGTCTTGGCAAATTTTCTGACTAATCGATCACTTTTAAACTACTCGTAATCAATATGATGAAATCGATTCATTGTTTCAGCCAAATCTTTGTTTGATTTTGAACATTATTAATCTAATTGTGATTTTGAACGTTTCGTGAACACAAGCAGAAAGTATTTTGAATCATCATAATTCAAATCGGATGCTTAGTTCTCTCAAAAACTGCAATTTTTTGTACATTTAGCTCGGTATCTCCGAAACCGCTGAATCTGCCTCTGCGAAAAACTAATCAGCATATCTCCCTATCAATAGAAATCGAACCACTCGAATCGGTTGATCCGTGCGCCCGAAAACGTGGACGAAAAATTGTATCCATACATGCATACATGCACACATACATCATTTTTTCTGAGGTATGCCAAAATGTTCAGAAACCTTCAAAACGTGAAAAAAATATAAAAATTTTCGATTTCGATTTTTGGACCATTACAATAACTTACCCTACGGAAAATTAATAAGTACGTTTAAATTAGGAAAAAAAAGGATCCAATAAGAAAAACATGATAAAAAATATGCTAAACAAGCAATAAAAAGTTATAGTTACTTTCGGGTTTATTTATTACATAATACAAATTTGAATGTTGGAGATCGAATGATAATCTGATAGGAGTCTCTGAAAAGTCCAATAACAATCTGATTAGAGCAAAAGCTGATGAGAATCTTGCATGTAAGCCTGCAGAGTTCTAAATAGTTTTATGAAATTAATTATTATTGAATGACTTTTTTTTAAAATTAGTAATGAATTAATACTTATTATCGCAATAAATTATTTTGAATACTTAAAATGAAGTAATCAAAAGCATCAAGATAATCATTCTGGAAAGGTTCTGGAGAAGTCATCAGGCGCATATTTTGATCGTAACTTAATAACTGAACGACATCATCATCCACATGCAGATTTTTATATTGAATTTAAATTTATGGCTACCCAGTGGCTTAGTGGTTAGAGTTGTGATCTTTGAATCAGAGGTTTCGGGTTCAATACCTAATTCTGACAAACTGATATCAAGCAGCAGTGTTCTTACTTGGGAATATAGATAGCAATATGTTCACAAGTAAAAATAGCCCTGCCCGGCATTGCTGCAACATTATAATTTTATCAGTTACAGAAAATATTATGATAAATTTGTCGTCGGGATAGGACGACCGTTTGGGTTGCCATTTACAAGCCACATTGTTTAAAGAAGTCAGCAAATCATTTCATAGGACTTGTTAAGTTCTGTAGGTGTTAAAATATATGAATATAACAAAAATAATTTTGATTGAATTTTTGTACTAACGAGTCTTCTTGATATTGTTAAAGATTTTATATTCTTTAATTTATGATCATAAAAAAATATTTTTGGTGTTTTGTTTTGAACAGAAATGAAAACTAAATATATTCTATGAGCTGGTGTGATGTGACTCTCTAACCAAGTGTTAATAGAAGACAACCCAGTGGTTGACAATTTTCTTTTGAAATTTTTAATACATTTTTGTGTTTTACGGATGTGATACATATTGCAGTAATGCATGGAGAAAGCTATTACATGTTATTATATTTTAAATCTATAATCTCAGGTGAAAATATGTCACCCTACTGCTTGATATCAAGCTAGCCGAGGTTCGTATCAAATCCGGAGCCAGTAATATAGTTACCATAACTAACTACCTTACCTTTTCTTATTTTGTAATTATTATACAGTGGTACCTCGCCTTACGAGCGACTCGTCATACGAGTCATACGTTTGCTTCCTTATACGAGCCAAATTTGTGATGACCCTGTAAACACAAACTTTAGTTTTTCAGTTCTTATAAAATATAATCTGATATTTATATAGAAAATAATAACAATATTTAATAATATAATCGGTTTTATTTATGTTCTGTCACCGTACAAACAATTTACATACAAGTTTCTATTAAGTTTAACTTTATATATATATATATATATATATATATATATATATATATAAAGCTAAGTATATACATAAAAAATATGAAATTAAAATTCCTAATATTGTTTAATATACACATATACAAAATAAAATTTAACATACTGAAGAAAAAAACAAGTTGATTGCACAAGTTACTTTTCATGCTGATTTTGTAAAATATTAAACTCAAAAAATTGATTCGTAAAAATAATATACAAATATTCATATTTTACATTACTTGAGCAAATTCGTATTAAAGGATAAATTACCTAAATCAGCAATTGAAACTTAAACTATGGATAAAGGAACTAAAAATTTTATTTAAGGTTATTGCTTCATATTTACTTTGTAAACATGAATATTTCTAATAATAATAACAAAAAAATATAAAATAAATTATAGTCCTTGTACATTTTTTGTAATATAAAAGTGAGCACTTGGAGGATTTTGAGTTTCCAAGACTTAAGTTTAATTTACAAATAAAATATATTTATTCCATTTCTACAAATTATTGCTCCTTTAAAACACTTCAAAAGTTGTTTATAGCTTTTTATTTCCGAAGCTTTTTTATGATCTCAGAAAATGCACAAAGAACTCAGAAATCTCAATCAGTTATTTATAAATTGTAAGCATATTTCAATATTTAATTTTAATTATAATAATTTCAATATAAACACAAAAATATAGTGACTTGAGTTAATATTAGACTTAAGAATAATATAATATTATAATAATATAAAATATAATATGTATTATATGATATGACTTAAAGTATGAGTAGGTATTAACAAAATAATTATTTAAAGTTGAATGGAAATTTTTGTTGCAATGTTTATAATATATGTATACATATTAGGGTGGTTTTTAATATGGTTATTTTTGAATGTTGTTGCTCTCAAGGGCTCAAATGCTTCCAAATAAATAAAAAAAAATGTTCGAAAGTTTTTGATTTTAATATTTACTTTAAGATAGTCCGCACTCCAACCAAAGTTTCTTATAGAAATACCATGGGTAAAATTCCATTTGTTTTTTAGAATTTTATAACTTAACGACAAGGGAGTCAAAATTTTGAGAACAACATTGTATTTGCTTATTTTGATAAATCAAAAAATTATAACAAACTTTGATATATTTTTTAAAATAAGTATTTACTTAGAAAGAAACTTTGGTTAGAGTGCGGACTATCTTAAAGTCAATATTAAGAGCTAAAACTTTCAGAGAATATTTTTTTATCAATTTGGAAGCATTAGAGTACCTGGGGAGCAGGGAAATACGAAAACATCTATATTAAGGACCACCCTCATATATATATATATATATATATATATATATATATATTGCACTCAATTTTTCGATTTTTTTTTATTATGTGACGAAAAGGTTTGTTTCAACTTATGTAACCGTCATATATTTGCATTTATTTCTTCATGTACACGAAATTGTGGTTGGAACTATTTAATTTTGTGTGCATGAGATAAAATTTGCGCAGAACAATTAAAAATTAATTTTAAAATACTACAAATTACTGCATTATTTATAAGTACTACGTATAAAATATTTGACGGTTTGCAACTGTTTCAAATAAGTTTTTCTATCAGTTGGTACAAATCTTTTGAAAACTTTCTTCTTGAGTTTGTTCCGAAATTAGCATAATTTTTGACATATACGGTTTAATTAAAAAAATAATCTAAAATTATATATCTTTACACTAGCAAACGACTATCGGCCGCCCTTGCACTAACCTCAAAACAATCATTTACTTTTCTCCTAATAATTTGATTGTCGTTGTTGTTTTTTTTTCTAATTTAGATACGTTTTTGATTTGTAAATATTTTTGAATCAATCCCACTCTCCAATATAAAGTCCACTACGTGCATTGTGTGTTTCTCTTTGCATTAAATAACCTCTATTTGGCAAAGGCAGTCTGCCGTATATGTGATGGTATGGAGATTCTGACGTCATTATGCTTTCTGAATCTGAAATCCAATGTTAAATATTTAGTTAAAACGATTCCAAAAGCCTTTATTCTAATGTTTGCATCATTTCCAAAAATTCGAAATAAATTATCATTTACCTCTATTACTGATTTGATACAAAATACTGACCTATCCCGCTCTCGTAGCTCCTGGCGTGCCACACGGGTGGGTATTGTTGATGGTGGTAGCCCATGTGGCCACTTGGCCCTCCCATTCCGGCCATGGAGTAACGTTTGTTGTTATTGTTGCTGAGGCCGTTGCTAGGACCGTGTTTGCCGGTTGCTACTTGTTGTTGTTTTGAACTTTGTTTTGTGGATTTGACGAAGTTCGGGACCCTGGCGCGAAGACCGCAGTAGTAGGGGTCATCTGGAAGTAAATGTTGGTAAATTACAATCTGTCTATATTACGAGGATATTTCGTAATTTTTTGTTGGCATGTGGTGTTTGGCTTATATTTGGCAGGCAACTCAGTAGTTGTCCTAGCCAATTGTGACTAATCACTTACACTTAATAGTATTTTTTTAATTTTGCATGATATTAGGTGTAGTCTCACTATTTTTTTAACTTGTGTATTATATATTTAATTATTGTGACATAACATTTTGTTCATCTTACCGTATTTTTTATTATTTTTGCCTTTGTCAGTATTGTGTGATCCTCTGGATACTGGATATGGTTGTATTCTAACGTCTTCTTCGATATCATCGTAATCGGGCTGCAAATTACAAATTAGTTCAAAATTAATATATATTTCTACCCAATCTGTACCTTAAACTAAGCTGGTGGTCATCAATGTGTCACTTCTGATGTGAAAAATTTCAAATATTTAGGGTTAGTGTGAAGTTTATAGAAGTTTTAAACACATCCTTCTGAGTCACTTTCGTACAGCATTCTAGTCACAAACAGTCGAATAACAATGTCACCACAAGAGCAACTTTTTGTTGCCACTTCTGATAGCATACACATGAGGTCAAAGTAAAGATATATTCTGACGTTTGTGTAATGTTAAAGTTAAATTTTATAAGTTAACTAGCAAAACCGCCGAACTCCGTTTTGCCACCAGATGGTTTTGTGAGAAAGATGAAGAAATTTATTGTTTGTTTTGTATTTGAATTGGAAAAATTTGATTTTATTACACAACAGTAATGAATTTATTTCGATTATAAAAATGAAGTGTTTTTTTAGTTGAACTTCTCTAAATAAAAGTGAATCCGCAAATTATCCGTTTCATTGAAGTGCTCTTTGGTAAACCACATTTTTGGTTTTTGGTCTGACGTTAACACAAACAAAGCGCATGGTTTCCGAACTCGTGAATAGGCAACGTATAACTGCCCATGGAAAAACAATGATTTTCTAAATAATCTATTTGAAATTTATCCCGCAAACACTAAGCGATTGGCTTTGCGACTTGTTATTGCGAACGCAAGGCGAACTGGAAATTACAATCGTTAGAAGTCAAACGGAAGACCAGTCGGAATCATTGGTATGTCACCAAATCGGCAGCAATTTTTGATTGAATTGTGAAATTCAGCGCGTGTACATCATTATTCTTTGCGGCAAGAATTGCTTTGACTTAACCAAGCATAATTCTGATAATTCTCACTAATGTTATTACTCGAATTTTTAATTACGGTGCGTAAAGTTTCAGCAATTTGCATTAAGGCACGATTGTGGCTAGCAACTTAAAATAATTATTTTATCCGAGATTTGGCTTCTAGATTAAAAAATGCATGTATTTAAAGCATCAACTTTGCACTACCTATTTTTTGTTGACAAAATATTTCTAAATGCGATGATGCAAAAGTGTATTATCATCAACTAGACTCGTATTATTTTATTATTAACAGTTAATTAGCGAAATCTAAAGCCAGTATTTTAGGACATTTAAGAGAAATAACAAGCATTTCAAATAATAGAAGGGTATGGTCAGTATATGAAAAATTGACTAATTAAACAAGTTCTGGTACATTATATTTCTCTTATTTACCTTGGGTATGTCTCTTTCTGGTAACGATTCTCCATCCCGTTTTCTTTCCCGTGGTGGCAACTCTGGAGGCCTGTCTCTGGCTCCTCCAGAAATACCATTTCCTCCACGTCTTTGTGCCAAAAGCAATTCGCGCGTGCTTGCCACGTATCCAGAGGAGTATGTGCTGAAATATAATATGAATTCATAGCAAATATATCTTTTATAAGATGCAACATTTTTTCTCCAATCCTCACCTCGATCCTGCATAACCATTTGACGACGTCTGCCTCATCATAACGGGCGGCGCACCACTGCCGTTACCACCTCCTTGTGAACTTCCTCCGGAACTGGATCCGTTGTCGTTGCCAGATCGTGGTGACATCTGTCCGTGATGGTTTGAAACGCCGTTTCCGTTATGGTTGTTGTTGTTGCTGTTGTTTACTCCGCCTGCTGTCAGATGACTGTAGGGATCCTCGTCTGGTGCAGGAATACGAGGCCGGGTGCGGATGTCCAGGTGCATTGCTGGTTCTGCTTGGGGCGAGGAAACTGGGAAAGAAATAGATTGCCAATTATTTAGTATACTGCTTGAAGAGATTGATTAAAACATGTCTTAAACAGATAAGTTCTTGGCTTGTTGTACTTTAAATTATTAAATTCTACTACATCTTGCGATACTTCATTGAAATTTGAAAGGGGATATGTTTTAACAAAAAAAAAAACACTTTAGAACTAAAATGTTTTCAATGGTTATTTTGCATCAACTATTGTCATCGTGGTGTCTTTACCGGGTTAAGTTACCGGATCAAAATTTTGCAATCCAGTTTTTGGGCTACCGTACTATCAACACAACTTCTTCATACATATCAATAAAGATATGTAGATTCTTTATAGTTTGAGCAATTGTCGTTTTTTTGTTAGTGAAACAATAAAATATGACGAAGTTGGTCGTTGGTTTTTATATTCAAAAATATACCAGCTGAGAAGTATAGTATAGAAAGAATGAAGTATAGAATGAATTAAGACTTCTCGCTGGCAAATCTTGCTACTATGCTCATAACTTGATAATAATGATGTCTAAGAAATTTTGTCGCGAATAATATTAAACTAATTCTTCTATCAGATAATAAAGAAATTTCTTCCCAAATAATATATTATAAATTACTACCCTTACCCATTGGTAACTTTGTCTTCAACATATCCATAGCGACCACATTGACCACCAGGACCCATAATGGTGTTGCCAATTGGTCTGGTGGCGGTGCCAAAACGAATGCCAATGTGCTAAGGCACGCTGTCTCCAATCTACGTCTGTCAGGATAGGACCTCCTCAATTCTCTGGAGACGCTTTGCTCAAAACGTTTCATATCGAACAGCTAAATAAAAATCAGATCATAATTATTGAACAAATTAAACAATATTGTCTTAAGAATAATCTATAGTTATACCTTTACAATCTTGTCAGGTTCCAAAGGTATTGCAGCTGGTTCAGCTTCTGAACCGTTTGAACCGACAGGATTT